TGTGGGATGACATCCAGAACATAATACTGGAAGAAAAGTGAAAGGTCATTAAGAAGACAGGAAAGAGAGAAAAGACCAAAATGGATGTCAAAAGAGACTCTGAAACTTGCTCTGGAGCATAAGGAAGCTAAAGCGAATGGAACAAATGATGAAGAAAAAAGCTGAACAGAAAATTTCACAGCGCAGCTTCAGAAGACTAAATATTATAATGAAATATGGAAAGACCTGAAGTTAGGAAACCAAAAGGTAAGATCATGTTCAGCATTTTTCCAGCTGAAAGAACTGAAAAAAAAATTCAAGCCTCAACTTACAATACTGAAAGATTCTATGGGCAAAATATTGAAGCATGCAGAAAGCATCAAAAGAAGATGGAAGTTATGTACAGTCACTGTACCAAAGAGAAATGTTTTGTTAATTTGATCATATGCTACCTCATGAAAAGTGTTCAAGTATTTCATGAGGTAGCATATGATCAATAACAGATGATACTGAAGAAGGAAGTCCAAGCTGCACTTAAGGCTTTGATGAATAACGAGGCTCTGGGAATTGACAAACTGAAATATTTCAATAAACTGATGTAGTATTAGAGACACTCATTCATGTATGCCAAGAAATTTGAAAGATAACTAACTGGTCAACTGATTTGAAGACATCCATATTTGTGCCCATTCCAAAGAGAGGTGACCATCTGGAATGTGGAAATCATTGATCAATATTACTAATAGCTCATGCAAGAAAAATTTTGCTGAAGGTAATTCAAAAGCTGTTGTAACAGTACCTTGATAGGGAGCTACCAGAAATTCAAGTTGGATTCAGAAGAGGAGATGGAATGAGGGATATCATTACTAATATCAAATGGCTCTTTGCTGAATGCAGAGACTACCAGAAAGAGGGTTACTTGTGCCTTATTGACTATGCAAAGGATTTCAACTGTGTATATCATAACATGCTATGGATAACATTGTGAAGAATGGTTATTCCAGAACACTTAATTGTGCTCATGAGGAACATGCTCATATACCAAGTGGCAGTTGTCAGAACAGAATAAGGGATTGCAGGATGGTTTAGAATCAGGAAAGGTGTTCACTAGGGTGGCATTCTTTCATATTACTTATTTAATCTGTATGCCAAATAAGTAATCTGAGAAGCTGGATTCTATGAATAAGATTGTTCATAGGATTGAATAAGAATCAGGATTTGTGGAAGACTCATTGACAACCTGCGTTATGCAGATGACATAACCTTGCTTGCTAGAAGCAAAGAGGACTTAAAATACTTAATGATGAGGATCAAAGACCACAGTCTTCAGTAGGGATTGTACTTCTATGTAAAAAACCCCACCAAAATTCCTCACAATTGAACCAATAAATAGCATCATGATAAATGGAGAAAAGATTGAAGTTGTCAAAGACTTCATTTTGTTTGAATCCACAATCAAAACTCATGGAAGCAGTAATCAAGAAATCAAAGGACTTATTGCATTAGGTAAATCTGCAGCACAAGACCTCTTTAAAGTGTTAAGAGCTAAGATATTCGTTAGAGCACTAAAGTTGTTGTTGTTGTTGTTGTTAAGTGCCATCGAGTCGGGTCCGACCCATAGCGACCCTGTACAGGGTTTCCGAGGGTGTAAATCTTTACGGGAGTAGAGCACTAAGGTACACATGACTAAATCCAGGGTGTTTTTACTAGCTTCATATGCTGTAACAGTTGGACAATGAAAAAAGAAGACAGAAGAAGAACTGATGCCTGTGAGTTATGGTGTTGGAGAAAAAAACAAAGTATCATGGACTGCTGAAAGAACTAACAAATCTGTGTTGGAAGAAGTACAGCCAGAATGTTCCCCTGTTGCCAGAATGATGAGACTGCCTCACTCATACTTCAAACATGTTATTAGGAAGGATGAGTCCCTGGAGAAAAACTTCATGCTTGGTAAAGTGAAGGGTCAGCAAAAAATAGGAAGACCCCCAATGAGGTGGATTGACACAGTGGCAGTAGCAATGGGCTCAACAACAATTGTGAGGATGGCACAGAACCAGGTAGGGTTTTGTTCCACTGTGCATAGGGTTACTATTAATTGGAGCCGACTCTAACCACAACCCCAACAACATCAACCCATGGCCAATGCTCAATGTAATAAATATTAGGTCCTCAGACACACAAAAATATAGTTTATCCATTTTAACAGACGGTACAAAATCTATGTTCTAAATCCAAAGTCAATGGGTATTTGTGGTAGTGCAGATAGCAAATTATCCTGATGAGTTCTCAGTGAAGCCAATATAAAAAGGGTGTGCATAGAGTTCATTTAAAATAAGAACTGGGAAATAGATTTAATTCATTATTATTATTATTATTACTGCTCTTAGTGCAAGCTCACATTTACCAAACTCTTATCCTTTTGGCAGAAACTATGCTAATCATCATTTAATCATTAAAATAAAAGTCCTAAGTTCCTGGGTGGTGCAAATGGTTAATGCACACATTGCTAACTAAAAGGTTGACATTTAAGTCCACCCATAGGCACCTCAAAGAGCTCTGGCAGCACAGTGGTTATGAGTTGGGCTCCTAATTACAATGTCAGAAATTCGAATCGAACAGCTGCTCTGCATGAGAAAGATTAGGGTTTCTCTTCCCCTACACATTCATAGCCTCAGTTACCCTATGCAGCTTGGCTGAGTCAGAACCAACTCGATGGCACACAATAAACAACATCCATATAAAAGCCATCTCCTCCTCTGAATCTGGCTTGAACTTCTGGAAGTTCTCTGTCTCTATACATTTGCAGCCATTTTTAAATTATCTTTAGCAAAATTTTATTTGTATACAATGTTAATGATATTGTCCGATGATTTCTGCATTTCATTGGGTCCCCTCTCTTTGGAATGGTAACTAATAGGGATCTCTGCCAGTTAGTTGGCTTGGTGATCTACTTTTGAAAATTTATTGTTGTTAGGTGCCATCGAGTAGGTACTGACTCACATCTGCCCTATGCACAACAGAAGGAAACACTGCCCGGTCCTGTGCCAACCTAACAATTGTTGCTGCCTTTGAGCCCATTGCTACTCCTACTGATCCAATTCATCTTGTTGGGAGTCTTCACTTTTTCCCTACCCCATTTTACCCCCATGGAGTCCTAGTGTGGGGCCATAGCATAAGCACGTAACTGCTATCCCTAAGGTCAGTAGTTCAAACCCCCAGCTGCTCATGAAAGCCCTATATAGGGTCACTCTGCATAAAAATCAACCAGATGACACTTAAAAACATCAACAACCCTGCCCCAAACTAACCTCAAGTATGAGGGGGTCTTCAAAAAGTTTGTGGAAAAATTGAATGAAAAAATAACGGAATTTTTCCAAGAATTTTTTGTAGTCCCCTCATACATGTAGCAATACAAATAGCAATATTATTGGTGGAGGGGATTCAGGCATGCAGGACAGGTACAAGATAAACCACAGATGATGTTGTTGTTAAGTGCCGTCAAGCTGGCACCAACTCATACTGACCCTGCATAGGGTTTCCAAGGAGTGATTGGTGAACTTGAACTGCAGACCTTGTGGTTCAAGTAGACCTTGTGGTCCACTGGTTTATCCTACAGTAGTGCCACACCAGAACTTCAAATAAATCCATACCTGTTGCTTGTTCTGGTAAGCTTCCTGCCTCCTTTGGCATGGCCTTCATGGGTTAATTTTTTCCCCCTACATTATATCATACAACTTTCCCCCTGAGTTAATAATACTCCATTTCTAGTGCGTTTTCCATTTGTTGGCTTTTATTTTCATTTTTTTTATTAGTAAAAATGGAAATAATTTACCTTAGGACCAAATAATTAGAGTAGGCATTATTATCACCATTTTCCAGATGATCTCTCAGAAAGTGTGTGTGACAAATGACATGATTAGAAAGGAACTAGACTTCAAAGCTAGCATTTCTGCTTCTAAATGCAGGTTTCGGAAGCATATATGGTATAAAAGCTGCATGTCCAAAAAGTCTTCTTTCCTTCTTTATCTGTCCTTCATTCAATATATCCAAAGCCACATACATAACTACCCTCATAAACCTGGTCCCTTTATTTTGCCTTCCATCTTAGTGAATAGTACCACCATCTGGGTGTGCAGACCAATCACAGATGTTATCTTCTACTTCACTCACCTCCACACTTGCTGTCCTCTTTCTACATTCAATCTATTTTATATTCAAAGTATAAAGTCAGTTATTTGTCTCCTTACTTGTCTTCGCATTTCTCTTCTTATAAACCTTCACTGTATTCTCAAACTGTGGCCCAGCATGATCTTCTTACAACATGAACACAATCATACTATCAATGTTAAGACATCCTTCTGCTGTAGATACTTCCATGTCATCCCATGGTTCTTAGGGTAAAAATCATAGCTTTGGATATGGCTGGTAAGATCCAGCATGAACTGACCTTTACATCTGCAACCACATCTCTTAGTCTCTCAGTGTAGTCCCGCTGGAATTTCCCCATTTCTTGAAATACTAAAGAGCCCTTCACACATGCTGCTTCTTCTCTTGGGAACACTCATACCTTTATAAATCACATTAAAATCTACTTACTCCTCACACTCCAGCCAAAGTATAACATCCATGGGAACAATTTTCCAAGCCTCTATTGTGTTACAGGACTCCTGGTGTGGTGCTGTAAGCTCAACACTGGACTGTGAACCACAAGGTCAACAGTTCAAACCCACCAGTGGGTCCTTGGATACTCTATCCAGTGCCGCTATGAGTAGGAACCGATTCAATGGTACTTAACAACAATTGTGTTGTACTGTATGTGGTTATCACTATGAGCACTTATCAATGTTGCAATTTTACCTTTATGTGTGAAATTATTTGACTAAGTTCTCTCTCCCCTAATAGAGGTTCTGCTCAACCTTTGCATAATATAGTGCTTAGCACATGTTAACATAAACATATTTATGAATGAGTGAAAGCTTAATGAATACAGGTGTTTCCTTCCATCTAGCAGTTATGCTTACCATGTTTCTGAATGAGAAGGTTGTAGATTTTAATCCAAGTGCCCTCTGGATACAGAGTAAAGCTGCACTCATACTTTCCGCTGAGCGAGGAAGACACATTCCTTAAGTGCAAAGTCCATTTTAACACATTGTCAGGTGTTTCTCTGAATGCCACCAGTGTGTCGCAGGGCTTCTTACTGCCACAGTAGAATCCGTGTTGAGGGTGATAAAGGGCAATCAGGTTCACCTTATTGGTGACCTTGGACCACTGCATCTGTATCACAAAGGCTTTTTTTTGTGTTTGGCAGGTTAGGTTGACATCAGAGCCAGGAAGGACATAAATGTCTTCTCCTACGTTAGTTCTTTCTTCCCACACTCCTGAAAAAGAAAGTCCTCAGTCATCAATTTGCATGATTACCATAGAGTGACTCTTAATTAACCACCTTGATCACTTTAATGAGGATATAACTGAGGCGGTTTCTCCCTGGCTACCTTTGTAGTAGAAGCGAGCTTACGCATGATACACAGAGAGAAGCACGAGACTCAATACAAATGAGGAGGCATTTGCTTAGGGAAACTAGAAGTATTTAGACATCTGAGAGTCTTTTTGTCTATTGATCTATCCAAAATGTAATTGAGGTCACTGACCATGTCTGAATAAATTAAGCCTATTAAAAATTGAAACTCATCAGCAAACTTATTCTGACTACTCTTCCTATATTTAGAGTCCTGGTGTGGCACTGTGGGATATAGCACTGGACCACAAGATTGGTTTGAACCAAGGTCAGCAGTTCAAACTCACCAGCTACTCCTTGGAAGCTCTAAACAGGGTCGCTATGAGTCAGAACCAACTTATTGGCACTTAACAACAGCAATACTCCTATGTTTGGGGATGAGGCAATAGTTGCTCAGTGGTAGAATTCTTGCTTTCCATGCAGGAGACCTCAGCCAATGGACCTCCTGTGCAGCCAATGCCTATTTGTTAGTGGAAGCTTGCATGTTACAGTGATGCTGAAGAGGTTTCAATGGAGCGTCCATACTAAAAGACTAAGAAGAAAGTCCTGGCAATTTACTTCCCAACATCAACCAATGAAGACCCTTTGGATCACAATGGCCTTATCCACACTGTTTTGGAGATGGCACAGGACAGGACAGCATTTGGCTCTGTTGTACATGGTCTAACCATGAGTCGGGAACAAATACAAATGGCAGCTAAGAACAACATTCTTTGTTTAATATAATTAGCTTTTATTTGGGTTATAAATAATCAGCTATAAACAACACACACTGGTGCTTTCTGAAATTCCAAAAATAACTAATGAGTGTACAGCGGTTTCTTATATGTGCTTACAAAAGTCTTTTACACACAAAGGAGCTTCGAAAAAATTGTTGAAAAATGGAATTAAAAGATAATGAAATTTTTCCACAAACATTTTTATGTCGCCTCATAGATTATTCCATTTAATTCTCTTCACACACCATAAAGATGATGTTGTTAATCCTATTTACCAGCAAAGTAACAGAGATTAAATGATTTACTCAAAGTTGCACCTCTAATAGATGAACATGAATGCATTTGCATAGAGTCTGCATTTTTTCTATAAACTCCAACTTGCCACCCAAATTCAATTTGGTTGAATTAGAGAAAGAAATTTGACATTCAGTATGTAAAGATTAAAAGGGCCTCTATCTCCTTTGAGTTAGGTCTCCTGAGGGTAAGAGTTCTCAAATGATAAACTGTTAGGGCATTATAAGCAATGCTCCAAAAACCTATACACAAAAGCAAATTCTCTCTTATCAGCTCTCTGGACAAACAGAAGTGAACACTTAAATTATCTTAAACATTGAGGCTTTGACATGCCTTCCATAATATAGGTCTCAATTTTAGAATTAAGATGGAGTACATGTTACAGCCACGATATATTATTGTGACAAGTGTCACTGAAACTCACAAAGGGAAAAGATGAAAAGGTGACAAGCTACTGAGAAGAAACAAGGCTCTCAAAAGTACTCGATAAATGGGAATTATTGCGCTTTTATGGATGCCAAAGTTTGGGTAGGAAGAAGTTAGTAATATAGCTCCCTGTGAGCTATCTTTTGCCTGATAATAAGCTTTTGATCCTATCTACAGATTGTATTCCAAAGTCTCCTTTGATTTAGATATTCTCCTTAAACATCTTTTTGTTACATCTGAAAAGCATAGTTAATTTGAAAGATACCCCAGCTCACTATAATGTGCACATGCTACGGAATGCAAAATTAAGCTTCTCCCTTCTATTTTTAAATAGGCCCTTCAGATGCTCATTTCCACTGACATAAGGATCCACTTGGTCTCTCAGGTCCATAACTACATATACCTCATTAAAATTCAACATATGCTCAACTCCCAAAGATCTCAGTATTTTGAAGAGAAATGCTTGTTATATCAAAAAAGAAGAAAAACACAACTTGAGAGAAAACAGTTGAGCAAGAATCTGTGAGCAGCAAAGGCTTTGTGATTTTTTTTAGTATTCTGGAGTAGTTCTGATTACCATTTGGAGAGCATTTCATTTCCAAGAAGTGCAATTTCCCAGTTTCTCCAGAGATCCTCATAGGAAGAAAATGGGTGAAAATGCCTCAGAACAGTGGCCCAAACTACCCATTCCCTTCTTGTTTTTAGTGTTTGTTAGTAATCATTTCTAGTCTCTAACATCTCTCTGTTAGCTGCCACTTAAATCTGTAACCGAAAGTAACTATCTGCTCTTTAGTGATCAATTTCCGCAGCAGCCAGGAGGCATTTTAAATGAACAGAGGCCCCACTTGACCCTAAAGTTCCGATCCAACAAGAAAGGACAACTAGAAGTCTTACCCATGACAAAAAATATCTGGATGATGGAATAGACAGCATAGGATGTCCATGTTTTCTCCATAGTCTCCTGAAGGCCTCACACCAGCATTTCCATAATGATCACAGAAATCAACTGATGCTTTTAACAAAGCAAACACCAGCAACCTGATTCGTGCTAATAAAACCCCAAATCTACCACACGCCTAGGTGTTTATTGCTTGGCAAGACTCCAGGAAATGAAACGTAGGCAGGAAAGTAATGTGGTTCAGAGTTAAGTATAACCTACCAGAACAATATGCTCTCTGAAATCTTGTCTTACCTTCTGTAGAAAACTTTTTAGTACTCAAAGATTCACCCGTTGGGAATCTTTGTGTCAGTCAAGCTGCTTCTGAAATCCAAACCAAGGAAATCATGCATAGCAGTTGGTACTTGTTCTTTTTATACATTTCTTTTCAAGAGCACAAAATCATTTAACAAGTGCAAGCTTGGTGCCTTTCATAATGGTTTTTCTGTTCAATTTTTTAAAAAATGTTTTATGTCCAGAATTGCTCCAAGGTGTAAAAGCAAAGAATTAATACATTTAATTTTAATCAAATCTGAACAGTAACTGAGAGTAGTACTAGTGATCAAACTGAATTTTAATTTCTCTTTTCCTCTGGGGAAGGAGCCTCTGGGTGGTGCAAATGATTAAATACTTGACTTTAACCTATCCAGAGGCACCATGAAAGAAAGCCCTGGCTATCTGCTTCTGATAGATCATAGACTTGAAAATCCTCTGATACATGGGGGTCACCATGAGTCAGATTCAACTCTACAGCAAGAGGCTTTACAGGGGAACTCACTCACATTTCCTGGGAGTGGGGAAGTGAGGACTCTCTTTCTTCCCTTTGTCTGGGACAGGCTGCAGGTCAGATTGGGAAGACTCCCAAGATGACTGGAAGCCTTTTGTGGACTGCAGAAAAGCTTCTCTATGTCTCAGCCAAAAGCCATGTTGAACAAGGCAGCAATCAGATTTAAAAGACAGACATATTAAGCTTTAGCAGCTGTCCCACCCATCATCCATTTACAGAGGACTGGAATTGGCTGCAGGGAGGTAGCTCCAAGGTGAAAACACCTTGTTAATTGTGGGAAAGAATATGATGGCAATTTCTTGCTAGATACCAAGTGTACACTGGTTTTCCAGCTTCAGAGAAAATAGATGATTCTCCCACCCCATTCTCTTAAACTAAAGAAGACGATCATTAGGCTAGGGTCTATTGTTAAGTATTGTCAAGTCAGTTCTGACTCACAGAGACCCTGTATAGGGTTTCTGAGGAGCCGCTGGTGAGCTTGATCCGCTGAACTTGTGATTCAAATCAACCTTGCAGTCCAGCACATTAACCAACAGCACCACACCAGGACTGAACAAAGAATAAAAATGAATTAATATTTGTATTTACATACAACCACAGGAATGATTAGTGAGATATTCTATGACATCAATCTCACTACTACAACATAGTCACCACCCAGCAAACTGGAGCAAAATGAGAAGGCTTAATTTTGTACCTGGGGTAGTAATTTTGAGGTCAAGTGGAGATACTTTTGGCCTGTTTGCCAATATTATATTTTAACATCTCCTGTACAATGACTTGTGGGGGCGGGGGACAGCAGATGAATGATCCTAAAATATAACAAATTTTGTTGTTTTTGTTGGGTGTTATCGATTTGGAACTGACTCATAGTGACCTTACGCACAACGGAACAAAACACTGCCCATTCCTGCAGCAACCTCATAATCATTGCCACGCTTGAGCCCATTGATGCTGCCACTGTGCCAATCCATCTCAATGAGGGCTTCCTCTTTTTCTCCATCCTTCCATTTTACTGAGCAAAAAACAATACAAAGCATAGCCACTGTCACTGCTTCCACTTTACAAAGCAAATAATAATAATAATAATAATAATAATAATACAGTGTAGCCACTGTCATCAGAAAATTAGAGTTTAGGTAGGAAAAAATTGAGATTTACATATGATGGAACAAAGACTACTGTCTTACTTACCACCCAGCCTTATGCATATTTCACAATTGCTTTTATGGATTGATTTGTGTTCTCCAAAATATATATTGTATCTTTGTTACTTGCAAATGTGACCTTATTTGGAAATAAGGTATTGGCAGATGTAACTTGTCAACAAGAGGTCATATTGAAGTAGTTGTTGTTGTTGTCAGGTGCCATCAAGTCGGAACCGACTCATAGCGACCCCATGCACAGCAGAACGAAACAATGTCTGGTCCTGGGCCAACCTCACTTCTGCTGCCACACTTGACACCATCAATGATGCCACCTGGCTGATCCATTTCGACAATACATCTCATTGGGGGTCTTTCTCTGACCCTCCATCTTACCCAGCATGACATCCTTCTCCAGCGACTGTTCCCTCCTGACAATATGTCCAAAGTATGAGAGATGAAGTTTAGCCATCTTGGCCTCTAAGGAGCACTCTGGCTGCAAAAGATCTATTGGTTCTTTTGGCAGTCCATGGCACTTTTAGTATCCTTCTCCAACACCACAACTCAAAGACATCAATTCTTCTATGATCTTCCTTATTCACTGTCCAGCTTTCACATCCATATGAGGTTATTGAAAATACCATGGCTTGGGTCAGGTGCACCTTAGTCCTCAAGCTAATTAGGGACCAAGAGTGGTCCCTAATTTCTTTGTGACTGGTGTCTTTATAAGAAAACAGAGCCACAGAGGGAGGATGGCCATGTAGAGCCGGAGGCAGCAGTTTGAGTTATGCTGTTACAAGCCAAGGAACACCTGGGACCACCAGAAGGTACAACACTCAAGCACGATTCCTTCCCTTGAGCCTTCAGAGAGTGAACCCTGCCAACACCTTGTTTTCAGATTTCTAGTCTCCAGAACTGAAAGATCACATTTCTGTCCTTTTTAGTCACCCAGTTTGTTACAATTGTTGTTGCTTGTTAAATGCTGTCAAGTAGGTTCCAACTCATTGTTGTTGTTGTTGTTGTTATGTGCTGTGGAGTCAGTTCCAACTCATAGAGACCTGTACATGGTTTCTGAGTCTGTAAATCTTTATGGGAGCAAAAACCTCATCTTTCTCCCACAGCACAGCTGGTAAGTGTGAACCGCTGACCTTTTGGTTCACAGCCCGATTCGTAATCACTACGCTACTAGAGCTCCTTTTATGAGGTTCCAACTAATAGCAACCCGTATGTGGTTTCCAAGGAGCAGTTGGTAAGTTTGAACTACAGACCTTCTGGTTCAAACCGACTTTGAGGTTCAGTGCACAGATTCACACCAGGACTCTGGCGCCCCAGGACAAACAGACAACTGCAAATACTTACCATAAGAGTTTGCAAAGCCCATGTGGGGACCATATCTGACTTCCCCTGGCTTCATGTGGGGGAAAGAGAATCAAACTCATAATCAACCCAAGGCCTCCTTTGAAGCGGAGGTCAGACATGCTTCTTCCCTGCAACCTTCTTACCCTGTTCTGACACCAATCATTCCTCCCACAGCACTCTTGGCTTCACACCTGGGTTCAATAATCCACTCCAGTGGCCATGCAGAACTCATAACAATACATAATTATGGAGTTTATTAAAGAAGACATGAACAGGGTACAATTTAGGATCAAAACCAATTTAGGATGTAGCAGTTCTCTACTCTTGTCTTAGGCCTCTTAGAAATGTGACCTCTGCCTTGTGCAGGCAAGTGTTGCAAAGTTCTTTTAGCTAGTCTGTGAATGCCCAAAGGGCACATTCTTCAAGCCAGTCTCCTGTCCATACACACTCTGCTGTACTCAGTCCATGGGCCTAGAGCCCAAAGCTGCTCTGCCTCTCCATGCCACTGCCTCTTCCATCACCTCAGCTGTCACTTTTTCTCTAGGTAGGGATCTCACGTTTCACTCATACTCTTCCTTCTTCATGGTCCTGGGGTCTTCTGCCTCTGCTTCTGAAATAACTCTTTTTAAGCCTAGCTGGAGGGCAAATTTAACCAATCCCAGCCTTGAAGTATTATATACCTTATTTACCTTGTCCCCACCAGTCACTTGGTGGGAATTAAGAAGACATTGTATCAAGTAAATTCAAGGCACCACAGTTATACTGTGATACAGTGAATCATGGCTTTTCTATCATAGTGTTTGTAATGCTCACCAAATTATTTGGTGGTGTTAAGTGCTGTCGAGTCATTTCCAACTCAGAGACAGTGTAGGGTTTCCAAGGCTATAAATCTTTATGGGAGCAAAAAGTCTCATCTTTAGTTCATGGAATGACTGGTGGATTTGAAGAATGGTTTGCAGTTCAGTGCTTATCCTACAGTACCATCAGTTTTTTACACCAACTCACTTTTAGCCTTTTCCCAAATAATATCCCCCAAATATTACTCCTGACCCTGATAACTATTCATGTAACACATCTAGCAGCAAGCTTATCACCCACTGGCGAACTGGAGAACATTTTTCCACTTGCCAGTGGAAACTGTAAAGCTCCTAAGGATGGAGGACAAACCATGCTTCTAGCTCCAACATTGTTGTTGTTGTTGTTGTTGTTGTTGTTAAGTGCCGTCGAGTTGGTTCCGACCCATAGCGACCCTGTACAGGGTTTCCGAGGGTGTAAATCCTTACGGGAGTAGAAAGCCTCATCTTTCTCCCGCGGAACGGCTGGTAGTTTCGAACCGCTGACCTTAAGGTTCGCAGCCCGATTCGTAACCACTACGCTACCAGAGCTCCTTATTTAGAGACCAACATTAGGGACATTAGCTTCCTGAAACTCAACAACTCCCACAAGGTCCAAATCAGTTCATAACAACTCAGGACACAGAGAAGATGTAAGTCACTCTCCTAAGCTCCAAGCACTTCCACAGAAAAGAGGAATTGCATGGACCACGAGGACTAGCATCTGCAACATGTCCTGCCATCCTGAGACTAGGTGCTGCTTCAGCTGCAGAACAGAACTCAAGGCCTGTACAAGCCACTCAGGGAGGTGGGAGACTCCAGCTCACATCAGCGCCAGGTAGGATCATGTAAACAGGTGTAACAGAGTCCTACATGGTTACTGGTCAGATTGCC